GGAATGCTTAGTGAAGATTCTGAACCCTCTGTTGCGATGGGTTGTTGGTGTATGTCTGGTAGCTGAGCTGGCAGGGCATGATAATCATTTTATGTAAGGGACTAAACTGCTAGTGAATGTGTCTCTGATCTGAAAGCAAAACTGTTAAAATGATCCCAAAGTGTTAGCTGTATGAATCTGGCGTTAACAACCTGCCCTTCTTCACTTGTTTGATGTGTGGCTCAACATGAAGGCATAGGTTTGTGGTGACTTGAGAGGATCTGGCTGCCACTGCTAAGTGTTCTTGTTGATTTTCCTTGCAGAATCTCCTGCTCAGTCGGTGTCTTCGGGAGTAAGAGCACCATCTCCCACCCCTTCAGCAGTGTCCTTGGGATCAGAAAAACCCAGCAACGTTTCTCAGGACAGAAAAGTTCCTGTTCCGATTGGGACTGAACGGTCTGCACGTATCAGACAAACTGGAACTTCTACTCCATCAGTTATCGGAAGCAACTTAGCTGCTCCAGTGGGACACAGTGGGATCTGGTCCTTCGAAGGTATAGGGGGCAGTCAAGGTATGTGGTGTTACTGGATGTCTCTGTGCTTGCGTTGGACCACAATATTGTGTTTTCCCAACTTGGTTTGGAGCTGAAGGATGATGCAGAAGTGACTGCCTCAAAATGTAGGAGTGCTCTTTCCGAAGAGTTGGGACTTCTGTTTGCTCTCCTGTCTGCTTAATTGTGTTGTAACAAGGCCTCAGAAAACCTCAGGGGTTCTGAAACACCCTGGCTCTGAAGATCTGTTGTTCAAATTAAGAAATAATAGGGAAAATAAAACCACAGGGTTTACTGAGTGAGGATCGTTTGATTTAGGAGGAGGGAAAATGAATATGTCTCAAGATAACTGGGTTTTTTCTTTCTGCTGATAAACAGATCATTTTGTACAATAGGAGTTAAGTATTGACTTGAAGTCATAGCCAAGAGGGAGCTTTTTGTGCTGAGGATCATGCAATTTATGTTTCTACGAGTTGGAGTTTTCTTTGGTTTTTTCTACTCATGCCATTTGCATTTTACGAATGCAAGGCTCTTGGTTCTGCTGTGTCAGAATTCAATCCTTCAGAAATCATTAAAAGCGTAGGTTACTGATGCGATAGCTTTTCTGAGTGATCACTTCAGGAGTCCTGGATGCAATTTCTAGGAGACCGCGGAATTTTGGAGGGATCGGTTTGTTTGTCTTTTTGGGTATTTTTTTTTTTTTTTTTTTTTTTTTTTTTTGCTGGGAATGAAAGGGAAGGGATCATGAGATGTTGTTGGGTGGCACCTCTGGAGGTCATCTCCGCCTCCTGCACAAAACAGGATTTGCTCTGATGTTGAACCAGGTTGCTCAGGGCTTTATCCAGTCCAATCTTCAAAACCTCCAAGGATGGAAACTGCTCAGCCTCCCTGAGCAAGCCCTTCCCCTGCTTGACTGAGGAGTCCAAACAGCCTAAGGTTTTAATAGATGGACTGTGCACACGCTTTGCATGCGATGAGCGTACTGTCCTGGCTCTTCCCCCCAGATACAACATAGGTAGGATGTATCCAAACCCCTTTTTACTTCACTAATGGTCTTTTGTCCGTCTGCGTAGTGAGAGGGTATTCGTCGTTAGGGCTTTAGAGACTCAATGTTTTATTTGCCTTGTCTAGGTCTAAAAGTTGCCCATTATGTCTTTGTTTTCAGAATGTGGCTCTTTACTTAGTTCCATTACTTCAACATTTTGATTTTCAGTTCAGAATGGGATTGGCTCTTCTCTTCTTGAGTATTAGGATGGCTTCAGAAATGTTTCTGTATTCCTTCTCCACCCCTCCAAATATAATTTGCTTATCTTCTGTTTAGAAAAATTGGCTTTCTGGATGTCAGAGGTTTGAACTGTAGTAACTGTAATAACACCACCTCCAATTAATTCATATCATTGGAATGTGAGCACGTGTCTCCAGACGGTCATTTTCTGGTTTTGCCTTTCAAAAGTACCTCCATGTCTCTTCGTTTGTTAAATAATTGATGAAAGAATGGCAATGAAGCGGAGCAAACAGCCTTAATAGCGTACATACCCCTTTCACAGCACCAAATGCACGAGGAATTGGGGTTTTTGGAGGAGGAGGAGTTAGCACCAGTGCTAGATTTCCCTTTTAGATGAGGGAAAATTGCGGCGGTGATGCTTTGGTTGCATGTAATTGTTCAAAATGCCTTGCGCTGGCTCAGGGGTCCTGCTGTGGAGTAACTCTCTGCGCAGGTGCCCTTCCTGATGCTCTCCGTCCCACGTGCACCCAAGTTGTAATGCAGGTAGCTGCGCGGGAGCTGCAAGCTGAGCACATGCCACCTTTAGAAATGTTCCAGGGTGCAGAGATTCAGGATGGGAAAAGGGATGGCGAGCGGGTGTCATGTATAACGCTGTTGCCCTGTCTTCTGTGCTGTCAGATAAAGTGGACTGGTGTCACAGCGGCATGGGGAGCCACATGATCCACAGGCCCATGTCTGATCCAGGGGTGTTCTCGCACCAAGCCATGGAGAGAGACAGCACGGGAATCGTAACGCCTTCCGGTACATTCCATCAGCCCGTTCCTGCAGGATACATGGACTTCCCAAAAGTCGGGGTAATGACCTTCTTGGCCTTCGTATGCGCGGTACCGCTCGCTTTCCGCGTCGGCGTGCGAGGCAGATGAACGCCACGGAGGTACTGTTTGCTGTGCTGTTGAGCGTGTGTAAGCCGAAAGGCTCACTGGCCCTCACAGTACTGCAGAAGCCGAGATGTAATACAAAGCAGCTTGCCCACGATGTGGTAAATACGCGCATAGAAAGGTATTTCTTAAATTCGGGCGTTCTGTTACTGCTTTAAGACAGAGAATTTCTTTACTCCCCTTTTGTTGTTCTGTATGTGCGATAGTAGCGGTGTTTATGCATGCGTACTGATTCTTGCTTTTTCCTCCCCCTAAGGGTATGCCTTTCTCTGTGTATGGGAACGCGATGATTCCTCCTGTAGCCCCCATCACAGATGGTACTGGAGGCCCTATATTTAATGGGCCTCATGCTGCTGACCCATCTTGGAACTCGCTGATAAAGATGGTTTCAAATTCCACAGAAAATAATGGGCCTCAGACGGTAATTTTTCAATTTTTGTATTCTCAATTTTTGTTTTAACTTGAGAAAGGGCGTGGTGAAGGTAAGGCGGGAGCTGTTAGGAAGTATGGAAATACAGTGCAGTGCTGCTCCTTTTGCTCGCGTGTCTAAGGAGCTGGTACAGCCCCCCTGCTCGCTGCAGCACTGAGTGCTGTACCTGCTCACTGGCAGCTTCTCAATATTAGGTGTCTCTCCAAAAATAAGTGTTCAGTTGTGCTGAGAAAAAAATCAGCATCACTGAGTGAAAGTGGTTCAAAGGAGGGTGCTGTAGTTACTTCTGTGAACACACTTGTGCCTGAGAATGGGCAAGCTGCCTATTTAATCAACAGAGACACCTGGTTAATTACTGCAGATCAGCTTTTTGGATGATGTGTTGTAGGCAAGCCTGGGTAGAAAAGACAGATTTACACTGCGTATTTTACTCAAAACCATCACGATTCCTGTCTGTGCAATTCGGCATTTGGGAAAACACCATCAATTTGCTTTTGTGAGGAGAGCCGTTTATGCGCTGGTGCATAAGCTTTCCCTTCCCAAAAAGGGAAACCAGCGTTAGGTCTAAAGGTTGTGGCTGGGCAGTGAAAGGTGTGGTGTCTTCACTGTGCCAGGAGTTCACGTGGGAAGGGAGCGAGTGGCTCTTGTGTCTGCTGCTCTGCTCTTGCCTGGGTCGTAGGCTTCTCCACTAAATATCTCTTAGGTACAGGGGTTATGTTCCCCCAAACCTCTTGTTTCTAGTCAGCCTGCAACTAATACTATGGCAGATCATCAGTAGCTCTTGTTATGTTATATCCTGCGTTTATTTCTAATTACACAGTGAGCTCTGTTCCACTGTTAATAAATAAAGATATTTCTGGCCTCCAGTTGCTTGGGAATCATCCAAGCTGCAAACGGCAGCTCCGGGCTCTGGCAGAGCGGAGGTGCGCAGGAGAAGGGGCTGTCTGCAGAGCGAGTACTTAATTCCCTGGGTCTGAAGGGGTCTATTTTTCCCTTGGTGGGGGTAAAATGTAGGTTACCCCGGTATTGCTATGATGGAGGAACTAGTGGGCATAAATAGTGTTGATTTCTCTCTTTGATCTTGCTATGACGGCAGGCAGTCGGGCTGGGTGACTTTTTGCAAGAACAAGACAGACCCTTTGGCCAAGGGGGAAAAGCACGGGCAGAACGATTCAAGCCCCGTTTCCCTCTCTTCTCACCCGAATTAGAGCAGGATAAAGCAAGTGCCGAGAGGAGCTCGGGGTGGTTTGTTGTGCTGTGTCATCTGGGCTTGACTCGGGTGCGGTGACGACCGTAAGCGCTGCAGTGTGGTTCTGGGTCTGTTGTGAGCAGCTCCGAAGCGTGGCGTTAAGTGAAGCTTTCTCTTTCAGGTGTGGACTGGAACTTGGACACCTCACATGAACAGTGTGCATATGAACCAGCTTGGCTGAGTGGGATCAACTTGCTAGCCTTGAGATTCCTTTTTTGCAGAGGAAGAACACAAGTGGCAGAAACAGTTTATGTGCTCCCAGATCATTCTACTGATGTGCTTGACTGAAGTGTGTAGGCTTTTTGCAGAAGAACTTACTAACTGACCTTTTTCTGTGAACATTGTGACCGCCCATTCCCCACCATCATACGTTTCAACTTAGTTAGCCTTTATTCTTTCCTTTCTTCTTTTTTTTTTTTTTTTTT